GTTACTTATACTAAAGATAGTATATTAAAAGTAATATATAAGCGCTACTTAAAGATCTTAGAGTATCCTTATTCTCTATTATCTAGCGGAAAGGGCTATTATAGTATATTAATAATATTAAAGTATTTAAAAATAGTAGGCTATTATAAAGTTTAATAGGAAAGGAAAGGAGAAATTACCTAGTTCCTTTAAAAAGTAGTATCTTCTTACCTCTTTATTTAGCTATCTAATTTCTCTAATATTCCTAGATATATAGGATTATAGCTTACTAAAAGCTCCTTTTTTATAATTAGTATAGGAAGAGTATCTTCTCTAATTTCTTATCTTTAATTAACTTCTATTCTATCTTATTAAATATTTAATATTTTATAAGTTATTCTAATTAGCCTACTCTATACTATCTCTCCCTCTAATATCTTTTACTACTATAATATATTATTATTTATATAATATAATTATAAAATAATAGAAATCTATTCTTTAAATACTATCTAATAATATAAAAATTTTAATTATATTAAATTACTAGATTTCTCTATATAACTAGATATTTATAGCTATTACTAGCTATTTTATTAATAGTAACTAAGTATACTAAGAGATTCTATTTAGATTTAAACTACTTTATAGCTCCTATACTAGTTTAAATCTAAATAATATACTCTTTAAAACTCTAGTTAAATATAAGATCTAGGATTAGGTATTTAGAGTTATAACTAATAATATAACTAATAATAAAATAATAGTTAAGACTATTTAGTAAGCGCTCTTTAGTAATATAATAGTAATCTAAATACTCTATCTTACCTATATTATCTAGCTTTATTTAAACTAGCTCTTTAATTATTTAAAGACTATCCTTCTAAATAAGAATATAGAAATAAAGTAGACTAACTAGAAGTTATCTATAGTAAAGATAAATACTTAGTATTAAATATAGAGGATCTTATATACCTTAAATAAGGTCTATTATCTTACTATATATATTTATATAAGTCCGTAATATTAGGCGGCCTTTCTCTAACTTTAAGAAAAGGGATCCTAGCTTATTCTAATCTAGGATATAAGGACTTAGTAGAATTCTATCTTCTTAATACTTTATTATATAAAGAGACTATATAGTTTCTTCTAGCCTTTCTATAAGGAGTATAACTATAAGAAGATATTACTTAATACTTAAGAATAACGTTAAATTAACTATCTTCTATAAATCACTTAGCTATTCTTTAACTATATAATAGAGCTCTTAAAGATAAAGGATATTACTATATATCTTATCTTTAAGATTTATAATACCCTCTTTAATCACTTTTTTAAAGTAGAGGCGCTACTTAAATATAAACGTATTCTATAGAAATTAGATATACTTAAAGTACTTATAACTAGTCACTTAAAACTTAATAAGTACTACTTTTAAACTAATAATCTTAAAGGATATATCTATATAGTTAGGATAATACTAGTATCTAATAATAGATTTTAGTTCTTTCTATCTAATAATTAAGAGTCTTACTAGTATAATATCTATTAGAAATTATTTTAGGAATTATTAATTCTATATTAAGAGCGCCTTATAATAAATGAAGGATTAACTAATACTCTAATAATAATATTATCTAGTTCTAGACTAAATATAATATTAAAGAATAATAAAATATCTATAAAACTAACTAGTAATAAGATAACTTAATATCTTAATAGTAGTATATTTATAATCTATTTCTTCTCTATATAGGATAATACTAATATATTTATACTACTAGATCTAATTAATATTAAACCTCTTTAATTCTAGCGGAAGAACTAATCTTATTTCCTTATAATTATATTATTTACTTATAATATTCTCTCTATTTCTATAACTAATACTAATATCGAATAGCTCTTTAATACTATTTAAGATATTTATTACTACCGCTATAGTTATCTAAAATTAGAGATAATCGAGGAGCTTATATTATTTCTATATATAATAAGATTTAATATTAAGGATACTAAGGTAAAGTAGCTTAAGTAGTTCTTTATACTAGCTAAGATTAAGTTAGCGAAGAAGTAGAACGATAAATATATAGAGGATACTAAGCTTAACCTAATTAGTAATAATAAAAAGGAAGAAGGAGTAGATAATAGACTACGAGAGATATCTCCTTATTTAATAGATATAGATATAGAGGTGATAGAGCTAGAGTTAATAGAGACTATAACTTAGAGACGGGCCTTAGGGAGGAAGCGTAAGAGTAGAGCAGATAAGGATTTTAAGTAATATTAGAGAAATATATCCTAGTTTAATTATTTGATTTATTCTCCATTTTTTCTAGAAGAGCGCTATAAGTAAAATACTTAATATTATAAGCAAAAAATGCATTAATTATATAGTTACACGCTAGAAGTCTATTTATCTAGTTTACACTATATTAGGGCCCTAATGGGTTACCTAATGGGTTTTAGGTTATAAGTAATAACCCAAAACCTATCGTTAGGTCGAAGCAATGGACCCAAAACCTATTTTGGGTTGGGTTGGGTTGGGTTAGGTCCGGGTTAGAGTGGGTTGTGCCGAAGTCTAATCAGATAATAGGATCTAGTATTCTACCTAGGTATTCGGATACTAGAGAGAAATTAGGATGACTAGGTAGGTATATTGGGTGGGGTAGGGTGTTATTAGGGTGACTAGTGAAAAGTCTGCAAAAACACCCCACAGTGGGTCGGTGCGACGCAGCACCAGGGTCCGGAGGAATCAGAAGATGCGAAGCTTGCAGTTATATAGAGGCTTCGACAGCAAAGGACTCATAACCTGATGGAGATGATCCTATACGACTAATCATAAAAGAAAGGAGTGGACTGGAAAATCTTGTATTGTGCGTAGAGAGAGAAAAGGAAGAAGAAGGAAAGCTAGCTAGACTAAAGTGCTAGGAGGTCACGTGTCTTCGCAACAATATGTCAAGGAGAATTAGATGCGCAAAGAATAGAACAGTGCATTTTACCCAACCCGACGCATTAGAAGCTCTCCCTCCTAGTCATGCAATCAATATATTTCCAGCCCAGGGCCTGATTGGAATATTCCGAGTTTCTGTCCTCGATCTGCGCAGGTCTAGTTCATCATCTAAAGCTACATCGTAAGCCTTTCTGACCCCGGCTTTCAATGCATCGTCACTCAAAAATGACTGCTGCCAGGTACTATACTCCTTCACGGCAAGATCAAGAAGGCCTGGGATATGAAGTTCAGGCAGGCCGATTGATGGAGTAGCGGCGTTCTCGAGAGGGAGCGTGGACGGCCTGGCTTCCTGTGCGGTCTATGTTGGAAGGACGTCTGTGATAGTAATAGGAGGGCAGCTTGTCTCAGTCGCAGTACGGGTATGAGGCCTCGGTCTTTCAATCCGCTGCCTCTCCGCTCTGTAGATCTGTTCGCGAATCACCCCAGGCACAGACCATCCACTCTAGGCGTATTTAACCAGACTCTCCAACTGATCTCGGTATATAACAAAAAGAAGTCTTGACACTGTATATATACACAATCCCAAATCGGGACTACCCGCATGATCCAATTGAGCAGATCAATACATGAAAACACTAGGGCAACAGGTAGTCAACTACCTAAGACTAAACGCAAAATTTGGCATACATTACTCTTAAGGTACCGTCACTTTGGCCCTAGCTATAAATTATTGAGGGCCCGCAGTTTTCGAATCGTTCTTCCAGAAACAACCAAGCTCCTGGGAACTTCGAAATCTATGGTCACGTGCAGTCCCTAATTTCCCAGCATTGCCCCTATATAAAACTGATGTACGCCGTCACGGCATTATAGCATCTCCTCCCACGCAAAGTACCCGGACTAGGATTGTGATATACGCTAGTGTCAAATCTCCCTTATCACGCCAATGTACAGATCGTGGATGCCGTCTTTTTTGCGGCCGGATTTCACCTGGCCCCGACCGATGCAGCCAACAATATGCGAAGTGACACCCAAATTGCCACCCGTCCCAGGCAAAATAAAACGCAGAGCCTGCGGTATATTCCATGAATTTATGTACCGATTATCAGGTTGGTACTGCTCATGGTGCGACATACCTTTCGATGCCAATATCGTACAATTGCCGTTTGGGTTGGTCCTGAAGTGGACAGATCGAACTAGCATAGAGGAAGCCGTCGCAATGCAAATGGCCCGAGCTGCCGGAATGCCTGTTCCAAAAGTTTTAACTTGCGGAGAGCATCCCTATGCGCCCTTCAATCGCGTTTTCTCGATATTGATGACGAGATTGCCTGGCATCGCACTTGAGAACTCAGGCGACCCTTTACACGTTGAACTGGAAGACCCGTGGCTTTTCGAACTGAAAAAATGTGTCACTTCCATGCGTACTTGGTCGTCACCCCACGCACAAAGTATTTGCTCGGTTTTGGGTACCTCGTTACGAAGTTCAAGAGTGCCTAATCATATCATGGGTCCGTTCACAGACGAAGAGGAGCTCCACGACTATCTCTTGAGTCCGGCATCTGAACACGGCTTCAATTCGACTGCAGATTACAATCAAGCCTTGGCACAAGCAACTGAGATTCGCAAATACTCCCACGAAATTACTTTCACTCACGGTGACTTTAAGGCCCATAATATTCTCGTCGGGGATGATGGTCATTTATCGGCTTTTCTTGATTGGGAATCTGCTGGCTGGTACCCTGAATACTGGGACTTCACAACTGCCTCAAGGTATGGAAAGAACAGCTGGTGGGCTCAGGTGGCTTTGTGGGTTGGAGGAGAGCGGTACGACGAGGAGTTGGCTTGTGATATTGCGCTCAACTCATTGACCGTTGACTCTTACATAGCCTTCTAATTTCCGGGTTGCATTCAATCTATGGTTTACCTTTTTTCTTCTCCCTTCGCCCATTCCATTTGTGATTCATAGATTCATGTATTTGCAACTGAATACGTGACGTACAGGAACAATCCAACGACAGAAATGCACGCAACATGACTAGATCCTAACCCCAAGCAAGAATTCGTAGCCATTTCAAAGGCACAGCCTAGATCTCACAACCGGTCGTGGCTGTTGGTTGATGGCGGCGCTTGCGCTATACTGGTTTCCGATCGTCATGCACTCCTGTAACAAAGCATCGGCATTGCTGCATCGAAAAATGCCTTGCTGAATGAGTTTCTCTAGAATCCTCATCAACCACACTCGACAGTCAACTCCAGGTATGCTGTTGACATCCCCATCATGCGATCTCATAATCTGATCAAGCTGACCATAGACGGTCCCTGGAACGATGGCGACTTGCACAAGGACACACAAAAAATTCGATTTGAAAACCCCACCGGTAGGGCCGTGATCGGGTATCCAACCTCCGCCAAGGTTTTTCATATGATATTTGGTGCCGCCCATTGCACAAGTATGGAAGTAGTAACCCCAATGGAAGTCATTTTGGCGAGGAGGGTCGGATCGGATCCAGAGAACGATGAATAGCGCATTCAGCGGAAGTTTAGCTAATGCTTCTTCTTGTTGCTTCTTAATAAGAGTCGCACGTTCTCTCGCTGTCGTCGGAGCAGGTTGAGACATGGTTTAGAGCCGGGGTAAAAACAGGATCAGGAAAATCTTTTGCAAGCAGTGATTGATGAGATTTACAAGGCATGTAATAGCTGGATAGCTCCCTTTTAAATGTCCAAATTTGCCTAGAGAAATATGCTCACATAGAGCCAAAGCTGTTTTAATGCACTTCCCTCCATGCGACACAAATGCGACACGAAGCGCGTAATGTTTCCAAAAATATACTATCCTAGTATCCCGTGGCTCTCCATTTGCCCCTTCTCTTGTGCAAGATATCCCACGATCTTTTAATAGTAAGCTTTGACCATGAACTTCATCGACGCGCGCGCTTTATATATTATATATCGAGGCCAAAACACAGGGTTCCACAGTTATTTGTCATATGTGTCTTTGCTGGGGGTTCTGATCCGCGCACCCCAAAAAGTCACGTTTTTTCACCCTATTAATAATCAATTTTTTACATAATTTGCAAGTTCGGGAAAAACAGGAGGAATATCACATGATTATCAACCTCATCTATCCATCTGATATCGATCTCTATAGCAACCCATTATTTACAAGATCTATTTAAACCCTCTCCCCCCCAAGATCTCTCTCTCTCTCTCCCCCCCGCACCCCAGATCTTGATCTCTCTCTCTGCACCCCACATCTCTGATTTTTATCATTATTCCAATCATCATCATCAAAATGACTAATACCACCCCCACCGCCAGCCCCATTGCTAAGTCTACTAGTGAGCTTATTCCTAGATCTACCCTAGATCTCCCTCAGTTTCCAGATATACTAAGATCTTAGATCTACCCTAGATCTCTCTTAGTTTAATCTCACTTTGGTATTAATTTATACTAATTAGGTAATAAATAGTGTAACTCCTCCCCCCCCCCCCCCCCCCGGAAGCGGTATACGATACCCGTGAGTAGCTAGTCGAAATAGTGTAAAAATATACTCTTTCTTAGGGATATTATACTACTATTAAACGTTATACTATAGGTAGAAATTTAACTATATAATATGTTAAATCTAGTACCCTAAAATAGTCTGTAAAGCCCCTAATCGGATTAAAGCCTCGCTATACTAGCTTAAAACGGTAGGAATGCCCTTTTAGGCTATATAGATGTGCCTAAAACGGCAAATAGTATCTCTAAATCCGGAACCCTAATTATAACTATACCGCTAATGACCTAATAGGCTACTATTAATCTCGGAAGTTTACCCTAGATTAGATTAATAAGATTAAAGAGCTATCTAATATAGCTATACCCCTATAAAAGATTATCTAAATAATCCAATCTCCTACCTCCTAGCTAATTAAGATACGTAATATTTATAATTAGATCTCTCGATTTAAACGCTAAGAGAGAGGTCTTCGATCTAAAACTGAGTTTTTATTTAATTAACTTAATAAAAAAGGGTATAAGAATAAATTTAAACTCTTATCTAAAAATAAGATAGACTTTCTTACACTAGCCCACCCTAATATAATCGTACTAGCTAACTAATATAATAGGGTATTTATATTAGATTATATATAAGACTAATAAATACCGGATACCGCTTTTAGAAGTAGTTAGTATTATACCTACTAATTAGAGCTTCCTATTTACTACTTATTTTATACGTTATAAGTAAATAGAGGGCTATTATTAGACTATAAAAGTCTTATTCTAAGAATAGGTATATTTACTACTAAATATAGTACTTATTACTAATAGAGACCTTATCTTTTCGGGTATAATCGATACTCTTTTTCCTTATTTACCCTATTTACTATATATTTAGTATATTAATAAGGCTATATTAGTAAGGGCTAAAACCCTTATTACTATAGTAGCTAATCTATACTTAGATAATCTATAAAACGCCTAATTTTAGGAATTTATATAGTAGTAGCGCGATTTATACTAATCTTATACCTTAGATAAGTATAATTTAAGGTTAAATAACCTTAAATCCTAGTTTAAATTATATCCCTCTTTAATCTCTTATCTTTATAAAACCTAGCTAATCTATAAATAGAAATTTATCTATTATTTAATTATTAATATTACCTATTTTAGTAATTTAGTATTATCACGGTCTAAAGGTGTTACGACCCTCTGCTAGGAGAGTGCCTCACAGGCTAGATCCCGCCTGGTCCAGTGACCCAGAACCCGTGACCTAGCAGGGGTAGCATGACCCCCCGCTAGAGACCGCACTAGGGAGACTAAGTCCTGCCGGGTCAGGTGACCTAGTCCCGTGACCCGCTAAAGGTCATCCATACAGAGACTGCTAGGGGAACTTAGCTCTTTAGCGATTAGTTTATAAATATACTAGCACCCTGCTATTCCTTCACTCTAGTTCTATATTACCTACTAGGACCCGCTAGCACGCCGGTCCTAACATTCTAATCGCTAAATCTCAATTAAACTAGACCGTTAGAATACGTAATATCGATAACTCGACGCACGAGCGACCGCCTAAGGGGAACCTTAGCCCCGATCGCGGAAACGAACGACGTCCCGGGACCCCTATAACCTCTACTAGAAGAGGCAGAGATATAAGGAGTCGACGATAACCCTTAGGGAGGAAACCCGCCGGATCCGATAACCCTGACCGAGGCAGACGAGGAGGCGGAACTCCGAGAGTTAGAGACCCTTAAAAGACGTCTAGCTCTAGTAAAGGAGAAAAATAGGATCCGCGCGGAGCTATAAGACGAAGAAGAAAACGTAGTAATCCTATAGGCGAGAATATAAGGATCTAGGATCCGTCGGGGTTCGCTAGGTAGTACTACTAGCTAAACTACCTACTAACTACCCGATACTACCTATACGAACTTAATTATATCGTAAGGAAGTGCCGGAGGCTACCTATCCTATTAGAAGGAAGCGAGGGAACCACGTATATCCTATAATATAATAACGTATAGAGCCGAGAGTTCGGGCGAATATAATCTCTTTAAGTCGAACTAGGAAGCCTTCTAGAATAGATACCCTAACTAGTTTACTAGCGACGTACGTAAGGTAGACCGAGTGACCGAGTTCTTAGCGCCGAAGGTTAATATAATATAGATAGAATACCGTAGGAATAACCTAGGTACGACGTTTACCTAGTCGGTCTTCGAAATATAGGCGCTCGCTTAGGTCACCGACCCCGTCGAGATATAGCGAGAAGCTAAATACGACTAGTAGTAGATAACGTAAGCTAAGTATTAGGATATATACTAATACGCCTTAAAGCTTACCGGACTCTATAACCGTCTAAAAGATACGCTAACTAAATAGATAAGAATCGACCGTTTAGAGACGGGTATTATTAAGGAGGTGCGAGACGAAGTAAGGAGGTTTATAGCCCCCGCTATAGATTAATAGGACGACTAGGTAGCCTTCTATAACTAAATTAAGAAAGTAATACTAGGTAGGATATTATATCTTAGGGAGGCTAGGAAGATAGCGCTAAGAAATACTATAGACTCGTAAGGATCTAGTAGAAGACCCTTTAAGGGAAATAGCGCCTTCCCCGTATAGTAAGCTACGACTACTACGGAGGGTAGAAAAGCTACCGTAGGGTCTAAACGAGACTAGAGCGGAGATAGTAAATTCTATAACTTCTATAGTAAGCCGGGCCACTATACGAAGGACTACCGTAAGAAAGCTATAGCAAACGCTATAGCCGCGGAAGAGTTAAAAAAATAGACGACCCTACACTATAGACTCCCGTAGTGTTAAGGATAGTTCTCTTTAGAGAACGTAAGGGAGTGTACCGAGTACTCGTCTATAACGCACTAATATTAGACGTTAAGACTAGAGCCCCGACGGGGGTAGCTAAGACGCTAATAGATAGTAGCGTAACCTAGAGCTTCGTAAGCTAGAAATAGGTAAAAGAGAACCTAGAAGAGACGTATATAATAAGTACCCGCCTAGTAGAAGCCGTAGATAGGCGTAAGATCCCTTTATATAGAAGCCGAGAAGTATAGCTTAGTCTAATAGACCGGAATAGAACCCGTAGAGTTATTAAAATAACCTACGAAGCCGTAGATATAACGATCTACGATATAATTCTAGGAATAGATTAGCTTAGACTAGTAAATCCGGATATTAACTAGGTAACTAGTAAGTAGGCGTATAGAAATATAGCCCCGCTAGAGGTTAAAACCCTCCCGCTAGAAGACTTTAAGGAAGAAGTAAGACTATAAGGTATACTTAGAGAGCTACGCTTAGACGTCGATAAGGTTACCGGGGAGTTTATAGTAATACTAGGGGTAATATAAAGCTCGGATAGGACCCCCTATCCGGTATAATCTCTAACTAAACTCCCGCTAGAATACTAAGATCTAGCTATCGTAGCGAGTAAAGAAGGTGCTATAGCCCTTCTAACCTACGTAGAGTATAATTACGTAATCGAGCTAATACTAGGTAAGATACCCCCTTAGAGGCTAGTATACGCACTATCCGTTAAGGAGTTAGAAGTCCTCCGCTAGTATATTAAGGAGAACCTCGAAAAAGGCTAGATCCGATACTTAAAGAGTTAATCGGGTATACCTATCCTCTTTATACCGAAGAAAGACGGTAAGCTTAGACTCTATATAGACTATAGAGGGTTAAACGCGATCACTATTAAGAACCGCTACCCTCTACTACTAATTAATAAGTCCCTAGTAAGATTATTAGGAGTATAGATCTATACTAAACTAGATCTACGAGATACCTATTATAGGATCCGTATAAAATAGGGAGATAAGTAGAAAATAGCGTTTAGATACCGCTACGGATATTTCGAATATATAGTAATACCGTTTAGACTCGCGAATACTCCCGCTACCTTCTAGGCGTACGTTAATAGAGCCTTAGTAGGACTTATTAACGTCTACCTAGTAGTGTATCTTAATAATATACTAATCTTCTCGAAGGATAAAGAGACCTATATATACTACGTCCGAGAAGTGCTAGAACGCCTAATTAAGTAGAGGTTATTTATTAAACCTAGTAAGTATACGTTCTACGTAGAGAGGGTCGACTTCTTAGGCTTTATCGTCT